TTGGCTGCGCGAATAGGGGTTTGCCGGCTCGTTCATGAAACTCGAGGTTTGGCGTGAGTGCGTGTATGTTTCGTGGAGGTAGGGGTGTTTGGGATCGGCGTCGTAGGAGTCCGAGTGGATGCTGGATTTGGAATCCATGAGGAGGGAGTTGCGGGCATCGAGGGGGGTGAGGTTGTCGAGGTCGCGGTTGAGTTTTTCTATGGGCGTGGGGGTTAGTTTGTGGGGTTGGGTTGGATGGGACGGGATGGAATGGAACGGAATGGGATGGAATGGAACGGAATGGGATGGAATGGAACGGAATGGGATGGGAAGGGAAGAGAGGGACTTACCAGCTTCCTTGCGACGTTTACGATGGGGGTTTTGTTTGATGATGGAGATGGCAGCGTTGACACCGATGAGGATGGCTAAGGTGCCGGTGAGCACTGATTGGATGGCAATGAGGACGACTCCGGTGACGGTTTGGGTCGTTTCGGCAATGCCGAGTTCTTCGACGAAGATGAGGATACAGATTACGGAGAGAACGCGGACGGCTTGGACAAACATGTTGATGACGTTTGCGGATCTTCTCTCGTAAGGACGACTCCAGAGGAGAAGACCGAGCACTGGTATATGGGTTAGAATTTGTGAATTTGTAATGTTGGATTGAAGTACTTACTGAGGCATTCGATGATGAGTTGGGCAACGGTTTGCGTGAGACCATGTCCATCGGCTGCGGCTAATACACATCCTTTGGCGAACATGTAAATGATAGCTGGGACGAACAACCACCAGAAATCCTTCTTGTAATTTTCGTAGAACATGCTGTATTTGAGCCAGTTATCTTTCTTCTCATACAATCCTGATACATCTCCATCTCTCTCCATGAGCTTCTTTGCTGCCGTGGAGATCTTGTATGCGAAGAAAACAAGAACACCAGTAAAGATCGTTAATGTTACAGCGGCCAGTAATTTGGCAGCCCAGGAATCACCATTGGTAAATTGGAATATACAGTAAAGTACCCATACACCATAGAGAGCGAGAATCAACTGCACCGTGAGACGAGCCATGGTTTGCCAATAATGTTTTCGGAATCCCGTGAGACTCTCGGGGAAAGATCGGAAGAGTGCCCAGGTTTCGAGGATGACCTTGAAGGCGAGAACGGCGACGACAATGGCGGCTAGAACGCATGCAACAATCAAGAGGACCGTCATGAAAGTGTTGGCTTGGGGAACGGAAAGCTCTTCGACGTATGCTTTGATTCCTGCTACCTTTTCTTCGATTTCTGCTGTGATATTGGTGCCACTGGAAGTTCCGTTAACGGTCGTAACAAGCTCATCTCGAGTGTAGAGTGCCCCGTCCGAAAACAATGATCGTTTGTCGGGTCTCTCTGTTGATCCATCGGCAAACACCAATGTAGCATTACGCAAATACGTAACACTATCAGTCGCCAATTTGCCTCCAGTAGCAGCTCGGAAACTGTCAATCCCTTGCTGCATGGCGGTCCAAGGAACAATACCAGTACTGAAGCCAAAGTTCTTGGTGAATTGTCGATAGACCGGAGGATACTTGACAGATAACATTCCGTTCATCGCCATGCCCTGAAACCAAGTCATACATTCCATAAACGAAGGGCTCGTTGCAGCTGCTGTACTTGCTCCCCCGGCTCCGCCTGCTCCACCTGCAGCAGCACCGAGTGCAGAAAGCCCACCAACAACGGCAGCAGCACCAGCTACAGCAGCTGCAGCATAGGAAACGGCAGATTGAGCGGTGGTCTTTCCATTGGTGACATCGGCTTGGACACAGGCAGCCTCAACTCCGGTGTCTAAGTTCTTCAGTTCGATTGTAGCGATGGCGGAAATATCGGGGACCGAGAAAGCAATCGCGGGAATCATCGAGGAATATTGATCCGGGATTGCTTGTGTTCCAGCAGCAGCAAAAGTTCCCACGGGGACTGTGATTGAGGAATTAGTTCTGACTGTTCTCCTGACTTGACGCAAAGGGAATAAAACTTACTCGGACATAATTGTGATATGAATGTGGTAGAACCACATGGGTTGAAAGTGTTTGAATAAACCGAAATCCCATATGCAGTAACATTGACAATAGCGGTGACGTTTTGAGATCTAGTACTCGACCCGGCCAGATCGAAGGTGACTGTTTTCTCGTCATTATCGTAAGTAACGGACATCCTTTGGACCGAGATATCCGAGTTGGTCAAACATGATGTGTATGCTGTGGTCGAGAGAGTTTGGTCTGCAAGAACTCTGCCCGGCAGAGTTCCCAATAGGCATAAGGAAAAGGTGGAAAGTGTTGAAATTGGGCGTAACATCATGGCGACGGTATATATTGGCACTGCGGAAGACCGCCTCTGTAAACCACCGGAAATCCCAAATCTCCTAACCTAGAATGAATCTCTAATCGACGCCGATGTATGTTCTATTATGATGGACTGATATTCAGATTATATATTGAGGTGTTGTTTCTATGATTAGGTGTCGAAGGCTTGGGACCTTTGACGACTAGAAGAGCAGTAGGTCGAAAGCTGTACAATAATATGGCCTAGGGTCTACCTGGAAAGAATAGAAGTATGGTCAAAGCTGCAGAAGCTAGTCGTTTGACAAAAGGTGCAATTATTGAAGATTGAAGCAGCAGAGCGAGTGTATGGGTAGAGTAATAGAGATATAATGAAGGTTGGTGGATATAGCAATGCCTTCTGGATGTATAAATTGTGGATGTGTGTCGAATAAACGATTGTATGAAAGAGAGAAAGCAGAAAACCACTTGTAGAAGACCAAAAAAGTTTGTCACAATACAAAACGACAAAGTAAAGAGGCAAAAAACGAGTGTGCATGGTATAAAGACATTAGAATCGACACAGCTATCGACAAAAAAAAAGATTACCTCCTCGGGACTGAGAGTCTGGAATGAGTGGAATCACAGGGGTTCGCCAAGGATTGAAAGCTTCTAGTGGGGCTGGGTAATAAATCACTAGATAGGCCAAGCGGGACGAGAGGGCCAAGCAGCACCAAACCGAAACTTCAACTGAGATCTCTAGCTCAGGGGTAAAGATTGACTTGAGCCACAATTACACAATTACCACTTGCTTTAGCAAATTTCGACGAATCTTGATATTTATTGGATGATCAGCATTCTGGAAGTCTATCCATATTCAGGTACCGTTTCTCGAGTTTATTAAAATGATTGGATATGTGTTGAAGAGGGATCCTAGAAGACTATGGAGTTCTCTCCATAAAGTTGTCTTTTCTCGCTTGGGATTCTTAGAAAGGTTAGTTTGTCACAAGAATAGTAATTTCGAGAGGGACTTACGAAGCTTGGTTGGTTATGATTCAGAGAATAGACCAATAAGATAAAGAAGCAAGATTTGATGAAAAGGTAATACAAATACACAGCCATAACCATCCTTCAGATGATTTGAAAATAGAAACGTGAAACCTTCTTTACGGAATATATCAGCACAGAGCATCCCTCGGGCCTCGAGAATGGATGATACGATGAGAAAGGAAGTCGATTCAAAATTTCAGCGTCTATTCTTTTTCATCACATTGAATCTCTAGCATCTAGCTGGGGGGGCATTTGAGATTTATTTGCCAGAGTATCTGCTTGCAGCCGGACTCCGGTACTTCCACAAGAAATCCTATGGGGTGATACTGGACTTGTCTGATCTTCTTCGTGTAGCAGTGGACATCATATGGAAGGGTCTCGCGGCCGCCGGAATTCACGAGATTCCCAATAATACTCAGGAAAATCGGATAAATTAAGGTCTAGAGTCTAGACAAATCAATTTCTTCGTCGGAGTAGAAATAGTGGAGTAGCTTATGAACTCATAAAGCATATTCGTAATGGCACAACGTAAGTGGGATGTTTTGCATAAAGCCTCAGTATCATGCATTTCAACAGCGTCAAGTTGTGTAAGCCGACACCAGGAGTTCATCTAAAGATGATACGATGCAGTAACACAATTGAGTTCTCCCCATACTCCAGAATCTCCACGAAAGAGATTATGGCGAAAAGTTGGATCCAGACGTATTCGAGAACGGAAGCTAGCTACCAAGATAGTTATTTTGATGCAGATTCGATGGCTAGACTGGGCAGGTTCATCAACAAGGTACTGACCAGACCAGACTGTATTACCATCAAATCCATCATTCCTATGAAGAACCTGGATAATGGATTCCATCTTGATTCCGAAGATACGAGCGCCACAATTCTTGAATGTAACATGGAATATGCTATAGAGCATTGCAGCCATGGTATGAAGAATCCCACAAGGCCACACACACATACATACACAACACACTGATGATCTCAGTCGTCACGCATGACCGCGCGCTAGCGGTAGCGGGGCTCATAAGCCTCCTAGCACCTAGCTAGTACATGTTCAAGCAAGCAATAATATCATATCATTAGTAGTTTATACCATAGAGACGTCTTACGTATCATACCAAGAGATACCAACAGAAACTATACTTTGGACTTTGTGAGTTCAACAAAAGACTGAATATAAACTCATGTTGAAGGAGTTCTCTCACATACGACCATAGACTGAAGAGAATTGGGCATCCCGTCCGCTCTGCCATACACAAGCTTCAGATCGGCAGATTAGTAGTTGAGTGGGTGACCATCAGCGAATCCCTGCTGTTGTATGTCTTTTGTTTTTTTGATTGACCGCATGTGAATCCTTTTGCTATCATCTCCTTCATTCCTTTCGATAGAACCACACATCCAGAATTCTAGTATTCTAGTATTCACCAATTCATGAGTCCTGAGTCCTGACTCTTTTGGCATTTGTTCACTCTCCGCCTTAAGATTATTACTTGTCCCCCTCACCCACTCCACGTGCAATCTCTTCCTTTAATGTGGAACGGCGGGTCCATCTCAAGCATTTGTGGATGCTCCCGGCACTAGTTTTTTCTTCCTCACAAGTTTTCCTCAAGATATCATGCAAATCCATGAAGGCTTGAACCGTAAAATGCGCCTCCATCCACAACAACACCTATCAAGGACAGATGGCCGAGTGGTTATGGCGTGTGACTCAAGCTCTATAGCTTAATTGATGTAAAATCAATAGCATTCTCATCAGGAAACTGGCAGGGGTTCGAATCCCCTTCTGTTCATTATCCTTTTGCACTTTTCAAGAGTTGAAAGCTTTTGTGAAGATATCGGAGGCGGGGCTGGGTGAATTTTCCCCCATGGGATGGCAATCTTCGAGCGCTAGAACAAGAGTTCTGACGCGGAAGAGAAGCCAGGTGACCATGTCTTGATGAGCTTCCACTCTTCCTATCATTCACGCCATTTGTTTCGTAACCCGTGAGAAAATTTGGAGGTGGGTTGAAACTTTTGCCATCTATCATACTACTATGATTGACATATATGTCCTGGTTGGCCACCGATGACATAACTGACAGCAATGAGTATTTCTGTAACTTGTTAGCATTCGTGCAGTTACTATCTTTTGTGGAATAGCATACAATGTAGAGTCAGTCATTCGTTGTGGTGAGTTATGTGACGTGAGGTTGAAATCTTAGCACTTTTCCCTCAAAGTGAACAGTCGCGTCTAGCCCAATCCTGCTTCAATAGGCAGGCGCCAACAACTGTTTGAAACTCAACATCGGGAGGAAGGTGGGTCGGGGGCTTCCCTATTTGAACCTTTCTGGAAACATGTATTGAGCTCCTTCCAAATCCATCAAATAAGTTTCCTCTGTTGCGTATCTACAACAATTTCCCCAAAGTTTCACATGAATGCTCTCAGAAAACTGCAATCAAACTCCTCACCACACTTCATACCTATACTAGTATTAAACAACAATAAGAAAATCTCAAACCCTTAGATGAATCATCGGCTTTTCTAGGGAATCCTCTTCCTTTCATCGAAAGCAGTTTGTTGCTCTACGCAGTTATCTGCTTAGCCTAGCCCCATGTTTTTAGAACCTTCCTTCATAGTAATTAGCTACATATCCATACGACATCACTTTCCACATATAGTTTAGGTAGATAGTTGAAATGAATCTTCATGATTTACCTAGTCCCGAATTCGATACAAATACTCGAACATGTCGATTTTGGAGATGAAGATTTAAGCATCATCATCAATCATTTGAGGCTTCCATCCTTTAAAAGACGTTATATATATCTACAAAAAATATTCCGAATATTTAAAAGAATTCGATTGAAAATCCGATTCTACTATATTTTTAACCTTTTTGTTCTATTTTGTCTCCTCTTTGAGATATTTGATATATATATACTCTCGAGATCAACCCAGTCTCTCTGGAGAATGCATAAACCCCGGAAGGAGGATATCCAGGTCTCTTCAATATCAGCATGATTCCCTTCTAAAGGTGACAGAAGATGGTACTGTCGCCCATCATATTAGCAAGGAGGCTTGAATATAGAACTTTCGAGTGAGTCTAATTATTCTGATCCGCTGTTATCAAAATTAGTCTTTGAGGATATGAAAACGATACGGTATTTATCAGGATGGTTGTCAGTAGAAGTAGAAAATATCAGCAAGGAGTATTAGAGAGGGATATGCTATTGTAAGAATGATCATCGGGGTCAGTGGAGAGTACTATAAAAGAAGCATTCAAGGTAAGATAGTGAATATATACACCCGGAAACTTGTAATGATTGCCACTTGCGACGTAGATGTTATGTGGAAGGGGACTAGAGTTACTTGATTTCCAATAGCCTCTTTACACATTGAGGAAAGAATCTGAGGTTGCCTCCTAAGATTTCCTATGAGCCATATTGGCAACGAAGAATGGAACTGGATGAAGCCGTGAATTCCAGGACTAACTAAATACCAAATAAAGTACATTGATACAAACTTAACAATATACAAAATGGATAGACAGTAGTGAACATATCCACTCCCTATCCATAGATATATAAATACAGATATACACACTACCACTCCTCATCCCAATCCCAAACAATTTCAGCATAACTCTTCTTCGCTGCAGCTCTCCCACTTTGTCTAGCGGGCTGAGCTTTCGATGCCGGTTTTGCCAATTCATCATTATCATCGGCCGATAAATCATGCATACTCAAGTCATCGTCCTCATTCGAAACGCTAGCACTGGGCGTCTGCAATTTCTTCGCCGGTGCCGGTGTCGTCTTCTTTTTAGCAGGCGTGCTCTTTTTAGAAGAAGAACCAGGTCCCTTCGCAAACCCATTAATCTCCGCCTTCTCATCCACTTTAATCTGCGCACTCTTAACCAAATCCACTATCTCCAACACATCATTTAGACACTCAGCCCTCGCCAATTTCTCCCTCACTTCATCATCAAAGGGCATCTTCTTCCTCTCATTGATTTTTTTCCTCGCCTCGAAATTTGCGGGTGTAGGATTTTTAAACATCTCCTCTTCTTTTTTATCCCCCCCTTCCGAACCTTTCTTTTTGATTTCTCGCTTCTTGGGTCGCAACCATTCTTCCATTCCTACGGGCCAATATACACGACTATCCTTTCCCCCCATGCCGATTTCTTCTTCCGGAACAATTTCCTTGGTCGGTTCCTCTTGCTCTTCTATCTCGTGACCATATTCTTCAATCTCTTCCGCGATCTGCTTTTTTGTCTTTTTCTTCTTGGGCTTTTTGGGCATGACGCGATTATCATCGTCTCTCTCATATGGTACGATATCATTAAACGTATCGTATCCTGGTAATTTGAATGTCCTCATTAGTTCAAATACTGCTTGTTCTTTATCTTTCGCTTCAATCATTAAATCCATGTCGTTTGCACAGGGTGGAAGTGTAGCTGGTCTAGGATTATGCTTTCGTCTCTCGTGCCCAGTAACGGCTTGGGGGGTTTGTTCACTGTAATGCATTTTCTGCCTGATACATTTCTTGGTCCATCCAGCTTTAATTCTGGGATAGAGATTCATAATATCCTTAGTACCTTCACGAATTTGGCTAGAATCGAACATGATGTTATGATGGTGAAAGTCGAGACAGAGAGGAATATTGAGCTCTTCACAGATTGGGAGGAGATCGTGGACAGTCCATGATACATCATCGTTCTCGAGAACGAGCCGCTGTTTGATGGAAGGTGAAAGCTTAGCGTAGTTTTCGCGGAAGCGATCAAGTGTAGCAGCTTTATCGCCAAATGTACCTCCCATGTGTAGGATCAATACTGCATCTCTATCGATTTGAGCTGGTAGCTTAAGAAGTCCAAGCATTTCATCATGATACTCAAGGTCTCGGAATGCATTTGCAATGACCTCTGGACGAGGAGATCCCAATTGTGTGAACTTTGCATGTTTGTTAGTTCTCAGTTTCAAGAGAGAAGGCGGATTCAACTTACTTGTCCAGGATGTGTGCTAACCCGATGTCCCAATTCAGCCACCACTTTCCCAACTTCCGCGAGAGCTTCACTAGCAAAAGGGGCAAGCTTATATCCATGCTCGGCATGACTAGCGAATGGAAACATTTCCGAACTTAATCTCATGAACTTAATACCGTATTTATCATTCCATCGTAACATTTTTGGTAGATCTCGGATATTTGCCAGACATAATTCTTCGACGTATCGCTGTCCTCGCTCGATAGAAGCTGGTCTTGATTTATCTGGTCGATTCTTGGTGGCGTGCTCAGGCTGTGAAGGATATTTTAGAGGATGTCGATGTTCGACGATGGAAGCCATACGGCAAGTTCGTGATGTGAAGACAGGTGGATTTGAGGATCTAAGATAGGTATTCAGACATGCCTAGACTTGATATTAGTATCGAGGCAGTGAGTGGGGCTGCAGGAAAACTTACATATCCTAACCTTCCTTTCCATGGTAGAGGCAGATAATCACTATTGATGGGAGGAGGTCTCCTTGCTTCCAGCTTTATAGCATCAGCATCCTCCGGCGGTCCTTCATCAGCTCCGTCAGGATCGACCCTCTTATCCCATTCATCCTCATCATCTTCCTTTTTTATTTTCTTCTCCGCAGTTTTTTTCGCCGCCTGTTCTGCCACAAAAGCTTTTATTTCATCCGAGCCTTTCTTAGCAGCAATTGCGCTTTTCGTCGGGGGTTTCTTCTGTTTCTTAGCAGGTGTAGGGGCTGGTTCATCATCCCCAATATCGGATAAGGGTGAATCGCTATCCTCGTTCTTGATAGGTATCCTCAAATCATTATCCTTTGCGGACGTAACGGGTACCTCAATCTTCTTCAAATCAAATGACTCCCCAATCTCATCAGCATCTGGGCTTGCGCGAAGTGCTGTTTTGCTATCTATGATGTCCGCATTGTGTTCGGGATTCGTGTCAGGTTTGCCCCGGCGGGAAGACTGTCGTGAGAATCTGGCAGGCGGCTTGATTGAAGTGGATTGGCTAGAAGGAAGAAGTGAGGTTGAAGCGTCGTCGACCAAGGGCGTCACCGCCGCCGAGGATCTCTTTCGTTTAGGTGGCATTTCTAGACGATGAAGGGGTAGAGTTCTACGTGCACTACTGAGGCTAGTACTCTGAATTGAACGGTATGTGAAGTGTCTGCTGAGGCGCAGGTAAGGAAAAATAGAAGTAAACATTCAATATCAACATTGAGATGGAGAATTACTAATATGGGAGAAAATCTCCTACCTCAAAAGATGGGTACCTCTACCCGCGCGGTCCAGGAGATACGCCATGGGCTTATTAATCGACAGTTAATGACTAAAAGCCAACTTCATGAATCATGGTTGTAGGTATCGGCCGGTTCGAAGCTAACCGCCATGACGTTGATGTTTTAGCTCCCGCGTCACATGATGACATCCCTTCTCCCTTGCTTAAGGGTTTGGATGGACAAAACAGTATTCGGGCATTTCAGGAACATGTCTAACTTTGCATAACCAACGTTCAATGGAGTTCTTCTCACTTTGTTTCAGCAGTATTGTCAAATGTTATTATGGAAACCAAATATGAATTTGTCAATTTCCGCGCTAGGCTAGAATCCGTTACCCATAATCTTGGCTAAGGCCCCTATACCTTGCTCAAGAACATAATCTTCTTATAGAAGATTGAATTACTAATTACCATTGTCCATCATTGCCATCATTGTGTATTAAAAGGAAGAGAAGAGAAGTAGTTAGAAAACACCCATGTATGTATCGCGAAGATGTGCCACAGAGTTAGAGCGCCGTTCCATGCTCCCGA